TCGATAAATATAGTGTATTAGGTATTGGTATACTTATTATTTATTAATGTGTTGTACGTGGTGCCTACGCGTACTCCATCCATGTGATGTTAATATCGTGGATTATTTTTGGTGATGTGTCGATTTAAATAGGTCCATGTGGATATAATTTTAATTATTTCGATTCGTATCTAGCTGGTATTGTTGGTTGACTAGTTGGTACCTATCTAATTAATACATACTGATTTTAAATGACAAATGCTAGTAGGTACATAAGCGCAATTAGAGAGGGCTGGAAAGCCATATCCCATCCCCAAAAAATAAATACATAAATGTATTCTTCAATTGTTTCTTAAAATAGTAATTAACTTTTAGAAATTTAATTGTACTTCTTATTTATTATTTAGAAAAAATTTAATTATTACATTTTTATTTAAAGTGTAACTTTATAATTATTTTATATTGCCTATAACTATCATATTAGCGTATGCTCTTCAGCTATGAAGAGGATAAATCTATATTTACGCTCCACAATTAACCAATAAGATTGGTTTAGTAACCAATCAATATTTTATGTTGAAAAAGATACTGTGATTCAAAGAGAATAAATATTAAAAATAATTATTGACAAAAATAAAATAAAGTAAAAATGAAGAGGGTAAATACATATTTGTCTTTTTTGTAAAACTTTTACATTTTCAAGTGAATGTACCTATGTACCTATAATGTACCTATAATGATAGATAGCGGTTAAAATATATTATAATTAGGGCTCGGAAGTTGATGACCTAAAGAACCTTAAAAAATATGAATAAATTATTTAAAAATGATGGAAAATGACTGCAAAAAATGACCCAACAATTGTCAAATTATGAAATAAAATGATTTAATTAACTAAAAAATGCAAAAAATTACTTATTTTATATTTTTAAAAGTTTCGAAGTGTTCACAATAATAATTTGCAGCACTTAGCCACGTCTCCCATCTAGTTAATACAGGCTGTGGCASTAAAGAAATATTCGGTGCCTTTTCTCGAAAAAATTGAATACGAGCAGGACACTTAAAAAAAATTTTTTTTACGTTAGATATTAATTGATCAACTTTAGGAAAACATTTACGAACTTCTTCTGCAACCCTGTGTAGTCCGTGAGCTAAACAGGTGACATGTTCCATTTTAGAGTACATTATTTTTATGCCTTTACCAGCCTTTACCATATATGGCGCTGCATCGCTTAAAAACAGCAAAATATTGTCGTATTCAGTGGCGGTTATAAAGTGTTGGGTATGTTATTATCTTTTAGATTGGTTTCTTGGAGGTTAATACACATGGGAGAATATTTTTGTATTATAAGTTGTAGATCATGACGTTTTTTAATGAAGCTATTGATATTCCATTGTATTATATTTAGGTTCTTCATTATAAGATACTTTATTTAGTAGTAGAGGTTGTAGTANTTTTATATTGAAAAATATAATGATACAATAATTGTGATATAAATAGTTTATCATAATATTATATTTTTTTATAGTGATTTTAAACCATATTTGATATTAATACATTATTAAAACTTTAAAAAAATAAACATATTTATTATATTATATGTATTTACAAATTATAATTGTAATAGTATTCTCGATTCTCAATATATTTATTAGATAACACTGGGATATYTATACATATAGTAAGCAGAATTATGTGTAATGTAATGAATATGTGTTATCTAGAAAAATTGTTTGTATTAAGTTATAACTTATTRCAAAATACAATTGAATAAAAGCATAATAATAATCATGTTATCTTAAAATGAAAGCAACATTTTTGGGCCATTATTTTGTTGACATATATTTAACAGAAACATAAGTCCACAACAGAGTTGCAGTTGAATCATTATTTTTTTTTTATTATTTAATTATAAAAAATGATTGGTTAGTGATATACCTGTTAACACTGAGATGGTCCAATAATTATAGGAATTGAGTAATAATCTTGACTATTTTTAAGAACTGATTGAATAATCTTAAATATTATTATGATTGTTTTTATCTTACAAAACTAAACCTTATGTTCTTATAATAATGACTTTTTTAATGACAATATGTTTAAGATAATTGCATAGTAAATAAAACTTTTATGATAAAAAAACTAGTGATGGTGCTTTTTTCAACCTAAAAACCTTTGCATACATAGAAGTTGCACCTTCATATTAGAACAAGTAATAATTCCACAAACAAAAAAAAAGGAAATATTAAGATAATGATGCATTTAATACAACAATGATAATATTTCATGGGATGAGGATAATTGAAAGAATTATCCTACAAAAAAAGTATAAYTTTTGAAAACAACTATTAGTTAGTTAAATCTTGTAACATTGTTAATTATAATTTTGTTTTCGAAAATGTGCACGGAATTCTTTGAATAAAAATATAAACTGTGACTGTTATTGTGGGTAAACTATTCAGTAGTATTTAAAAATGTTTTTAAATATTTTAAATGTTTATTTTAATATTTTGATAATAATTAAGATTTAAATATAAAATATAATTTATAACAGTAAGGGCCGTTCTTACAATGTCCGGTTAAGTGTCGGTTAAGACCAACCGGTAGAATTCTATCGGTTAACTCATGATAAATTCTTCCGGTTAGTGTTATCAGGCACTAACCGAGCATTGTAAGAATGGCCCTTATAGTGTAAAGTATAACTTACCATTCCATGATAACCAACAAACATTTCTTCTCCATGTATTGGTTTTCGTATACATCAATTATATTGACTATATTTATGCAACCGCTAGCCCTCCAGTGTAGATCGATTTCTCTTCTGGCTTTCTGACAGTCAACGAGAACCTGTAAAAACCAAAATACAGACAACAACGATACCAGACACTTTAAACACGACGAACATCAGTCTAACATTGTTCAATATTACCTTAAGCGCATACTTTTCACCGGTTTTAACAGAAAAACACTGCACCACCTTGCCATTGATACCCAGTCCGAGTACATTATTGGATATYCTGTAATCCTTTTCGATAGGTGTAGTTTTGGTTTTGTTGTTGAGAAAATAAAAATCGTTTTCTTCCATAACCGCAGTGTTTATCATGTTGCTACAGCGATTGATGCACACCGACTGCTATGAAACATCTCAGACGTGGTCCCTATGCGACTGTGGAGTCCAAGGTCTCGGTCGAGAGCTCTGGAAATAAGCCCGAAAATCGATGCGTAACAACTATAATATCCGATGACGACGACTACGATAATAACAAAACAGTGATAAAAATGTCGAGTTGGTTCGATATTAATTTCAACAACAATATCACGCAATGTTCCGATGAAGTAGTACCTATACTAGGTAGTCATCTTCACCACCAGCACGTAAGACCGCTAACCGTTAAAATGCCTGTAAATAAAGTCTCTTTTAACCCTGAACAACAATAGTAAATAATAATATGAGTAATAGGCTAATCGCTATTGATAACAACAAAATKATAAATTATTATTATTATCGCATACATTGCATATTATTATTTGTATTGTGTTGTGCGCCTGTGCCAATGTGTCATAATATTTTTCATTTTTTCAAATACAATACGAAATCACAATGCCAAGAATCAACTCGTGAGAGCCGGCGATGGAGCTAATGTTTGGACGTTTGATGATAACATTAATATTTAATATTATCCTCCAAAAAAAAATAAAAAAATACCGCAAGTCAATAACACTGAACAAAGTATAATTTATACAATATCATTATCGAATTATTTATTTCGATAATAYGTCAGTTTCAGATGCCGGGTAGGTAAATGGGAATGGAACGAATTTGATTTATGAAGCCTTAAAGTATAATATTATTCTCATTATTTATATACATGGTGTAATTATGTAATATATTACATATTGACTCCACGTCTGTACACGTCGTTTATCATACCGAACAGAATAATTAATATCAAATTATTAACAAACACTTAAACGTAAAATCGATGAAATCGAT